AGTGTGGTCTCCTCCAGAGCCAGCACAACTGGCAGGTTCAAATGGGGCCAAAGTATTTGCATATCAAGTGCATAAAGGAGGAATCCTGGGAGCTCTGATGGTCCTGTCCTCTGTGGTCATGGGAGCAACGTCCCTCCCAATTCTTTCTTCTTTGTCTCAGTCTGATGGGTCCTGTACGTGGAGTTTGGGGGGTTAACAAGTTTAACATATTCAAGGTACACCCACTAGTCCTCTCTGTGCCTGTCCTTTTGCCCATCGTGGACCCCAGTCCTCCCACAGGCACAGACTTTAGTTTGTTCCAAAGTGTTAATAGTGAAAAAAAAAAATGTCCAATATTTTCTTTAAAGCAACAAACTAAATGTATACTATTCATGTATAATAAAAATGAAAGGCATAATTATTTGAAAGAGGAAAAAACTGTCATTCACAGACAACATGGTTGTTTGCTTAAGTAAAGTAAAAGAATCTACAGAGAGTTTATGAGAATTTAGAAGTGAATTTAACAAGTGAATATCACAAAACTACACAGAATTAATCATATTCTATATAACAGCAAAAAATAGAAATAGATGTAAAAAAATTATAACTGTATAAAACCCTCAGATCCCTTATAGTAAATATAATGAACACTGTGCAAGACTTCTACATGGAAAACTAAGAAAAAAATATTGAAACAAATTTGAAGATGGCCGAAATAAATGAATATTGTAAAGGTATTAATATTGTAAAGCTATCAAATCTTGCCAAATTAATCTAGAGGTTCAAAGCATTTGAATATTCCTATGGAGATTTGGTGGGAATGGATGAGCTGATTCCAGAAATTACATGAAAACGAAAAGGGCCACCAACATTAGTCAAAGAGATGTTGAGAAAGCTGGAGGACTTACAGCAAGAGATAAACAGGACCTGTCTTAAATCAGTTAGCATTAAGACAAGATAGACAAAACTGGATAATCCTTATACATAGTCACCTGAATACGGTAAAGGTGAAACCTCAGTGCGTTGGAATAACCCATAGTAGATGAAACAGTAAGTGACACAATTGGGTATCATGGCGGAAAAATATCCTGAGTCCTACCTCACCACATTTACAAAACTAAATGACAGAAAGATGATATGTTTAAATGTGAAAAGGAAAACAAACATTTTTAGAGGAAAAGAGCACAGAACACTTTTATGCTCCTATAGTAGGCAAAGATTTATGAAACAGGAAATAAACAATCATAAAGGAATAATTGATAACTTGGACTATATTAAAAGTACGAACTTCTGCTCGAGGCACTATTAAAAGATATAATCCACATAATGAAAGAAGATATTTGAAAATACATATCAGACAGAAGACTCAGCCAGAATACATATAATATATATAAACTATCACTTGAATTATAAAAATTATAAAATATGTATATATTAACAATAGCTTCAATACAGTTGGTGTATTAGTTTAACAAGATCATGGAGGTCCACTTTCATTTCATCTTTCTGCTTTGCTGTCTACAAAAAATGCTTTGTTTTATGGCCCAGTCCCTTCAGTGTTGTGCAATGCAGTAATGAGGCAGCATGTTCGATCTAACAAATTGGGAAAAAATAAGGACATGATTATAACTGGTTTTGATACATTGAGATTCGAAATATAACAATTGGCAGATGAAGTGGTATCTAAAACTATAGAATCCTAAGAAACCACTTAAAAATTTCATTAGTTAGTAATATGGAAAGCTACTTACAATACGAAATGAGAAGAAAGGTCCAAATATTATAACAATTTTGTGAGGAGAAAAAAAATTTTTGTTTTTTAGGTGAGGCATCCCTTGGTTGACCTCACAGATTTCAAGGATCTTGTCAGCTTACAATCCCTTATTTTTTTTTTAATTTATTTTTTACGCCTACAGCACCTGGTCTTCCTAGGTGGTCTGTCAACTTACAATCCCTTATTTTTTTTTTAAATTTATTTTTTACGCCTACAGCACCTGGTATTCCTAAGTGGTCTCCCATCCAAGTACTAACCAGGCCCGACCCTGCTTAGCTTCCGAGATCAGACGGCATCTGGCACGTTAGGGGTGGTTTGGCCACAGACTAAAAAAATTTAATACATATTTACTTGCATAGGAGATCAGAAAATATGTAGGCAGAGATACTAATGATGCTTCTTGTCTCTAGGTGCCAGGATTATAAAGGACTGTAATTTCGTTCTTTTTTAACAATTTTTTCTTCATGCTTTTTTTTTTTTTAACTTAACATTGATTATGCTTTTGGAATAAAAGAAAAAGCATACAAGAATTTATACCAAAACAACAATGCTTTTAGAGACCCTGGTGATGCGATTATGGATTGGTTTAAGAATTGTCAGATTTTCCACAACGTGAACAAGTTATTACTGAGTAATAAATTTTTTTTAAGGAAAGAAAAGAAACGTCTAGAGAGGGCCCTAAAGCTGAGCACAACATCGTGCGTCCCAGAAGCTTCCTGGGTACACTTACTGTCATCCTCCTTCCCACTCAAACCGCCTTGAGCTGGGCTCCAGGTGGACGCTCCTTTACGTCACTATCTGGACCCTAAATAAACTACGCCGCGGTTGGTCCCGGGAAATGTAGTCCGGGCCCTGCTGCGTCTCCCACTTCCGCTTCCGGCCAGCGCAGGTCTTCCATGGTTTCTTACGCGTTTGTGAGTATGAAAAAGGACGTGGGTCTTCTTGGAGGTCTCCTTTCAGGCCGCAGAACAGAGGATGGATGTCTAAGACCTGGGGGGAAAGGGGCGGTGTGTGGCGGAGGGTCGGAGCCAGGGAATTGCAACGCCTCGGCCTAGCAAAGAAGGGGTTTGAGGAGGCGGAACACCGAGCATCCCGGGCTGGGATGTGGGGCGGGGCTCGGGCCGGCAGCCCTCCGCTACCCAGGGCTTGGAAGGGACGGCTCCAGGCCGGCAGCTCACGCCTTGAGACCGGCAGCTCTCGGTTTCAGAGACTCCAGTTCAGGCAGTTCCTTCACAGTAGCCGCCTGCCGTACCGTATATTTTGTTGGTTTTTAAGCCTTATTACATTTTTTTCTTTTCTTTTTTTCTCAAAGATTCCTAGAAAGCCCAGTAGAAAATTATTTCCTCCTTCTGTACTAATTTTAGAGTTTGCTGCCTGCAAAGTCTATAAAGAGCTGCAGAAGTTGATTCTTCATGTTCTGTATGTGTTCCTTTGAGATTATTAAACACTGTACAAGTTGCGATTGCTGATGGATCATTGCTGGCTCTTTTTTGTAGCGTCGGAGGCACACACAGGTTGAATGCCACACTGTCACACAGTCTATGAGAGTCAAAACTCTGAATTCAAATCTTGAGACTGTGTCCTGATTCTCATTGCGTCCTGGACGCTACAGTGGGAGCAGGCATGCAGACAGGATCCAAAGCAGCGATGGTGCGGGCCCTTTTCTCTTGAGTCCACAGGCAGGGAGGTCCCTGTGCCTGCACTCCTGAAGGAAGGGGTAGGAGTAAATTACTGGAAGGTAGATAAAAGGAAGGCGTAGATTACATCCAGTTGGTGCTCAGAGATTTCTCCCTGTGGTGCGTTGGTGATAAAATCATTTTATTTCACTTCTCTTCATTCACAGCCTTGCTTTCTTGGGACCGTTCCTTTGCCAGCGGGAATTGCATAGAAAAGGAAGGAATAACGCCTGGTCTCTTGACGTTAGAGCTCAGGTGAGTAGAACTTTGGTTTTTTGTTGATTTGTTTCATGGCAATGCCAGCTGTATTCCCAAAAAGAGGCCTGCTTTTTTGACAAATTCTCATTCCTTTTGTTTTGATAAATGCTCATTTAGATCCTTAAGCCATAGCTGCCTTCCGCCAGAAATGGGTTTCTTCTAAGGTTGAGAAACTTCCAAATGTCTTAATTTAGTGTATTCTCTCCCTGGCTCCTAGTAGTGGTTCATTTGTTCAGTAAATCATTCAGGCTTACACTGTTTCAAGGCTGTGCTAGATTCAGGGAAGAAATGAGTACGGTAACTATAATGGTTTACATTAATTACATGCTTCTTATATGCAAGTTATTATGGTGAGGGCTTTCACTGCTGTATCCTTGGTGCCTGGGACAGCCTGTATCCTTGGTGCCTGGCATATAATAGCCTGTTAATAAGTATCTGAATGAATAAATATATTTAATTTGCTCAGCAACTTTGTAAGTCAGATATTTTTAGTCCCATGTTATTGATAAGAATGCTGAGGCTTAGAAAGGTTAAGTACCTTAGCAAGTGTCACCTGGCCAGGAGTCAAGGCCTTTGTACCTGCACTTCTCTCTATAGTTTTCCCAGCCCAGACCTTTGCACAGCTTATTTATTTTCATGCAGGTCTTAGAGACCATCTATGACAACCTACCTGATTTAATGTTGTCCCCCCACACCTGCCACCTGTGTTCAAGCCGAGAGAGCTTAAATTCTGGTTGGTAAACAAGAATCTATCACATTTGTTTTATTTTCTTCAATGCCCTTTTTGTAATCAAAGATCAACTTATTTATAGACTTGTTTGCTTACCAGAATGCAGGCATCATAAGAACAGGTACCTTGTCTCTCTGAATTACTGCCTTATCCCCAGCATTTGTCAGAGCGTCTAAGATATAGCTAGACACTGAATGTATCTTTATTAAATTAACAAATGCCTATATTCTTAGGTTAGTGCTCGGATGAATGAATAACAAGAATGATAATAGTTGGTTGAAGATTTTCTGTGTGCCAAGCACTTGATTATAAGCTTTATTCATACAGGTATTCATGTGTATGTGTGTGAGAAAGACTGCATTATTTTAGCTCTGCAATTAAGAAGTATTATCTTCACTTAACAGAAGAAAGAACAGACTCATTCAGAAATTTGTGTCAGTACAGCTAGTGTCAATACAGCTACAAAGTGTCTGAGCCAGAACTTAAACCCAAGCCATTTGACAGTTCCAATATTGAGAGACAAGACTTGCAACTTGCAAAACCCTGCTCCTTCGTTTGCCGTCTGGATTCAAACTCCATAATTACCCATTGTCCTCAAACTTCAACCCCAGACTCACATTTGATTTCTTGTCCTTTTCATCCCCACACGGAGTATTCATCAAGTCTTGTTATTTCTACCTTTGCAGTATCTCTTTTACAGCCTTTGTTGCAGCCATTTTTATCATCCTTTTTCTCTCCCCAGAGTGAGCTCCTCACGGTCAAGGACTGTATCTTTCCTTATAGTTTGGGCACCAGACACATAATAGAATTTCAGTAAACGAGTGCCATCTTCCTGGCTAGAATGTCAGCTGCTTGAGCGCAGAGTCCTTTTCTGCCGTGATCACTGTTGTGTCCCAACACACCCAGCCTGGTCCTTCGCATGTAATTTACTAAGAGAACGAACTGGAGAACAGAATCCTTTTTGCTCTGTAGCTGGTACCAAAAGACCCGGGATCCAGGTATCAGCAGGCTGAGTTCAGGTGAGCCCCATCCTCCCATTTAAATAGTTCCTGAGGATATGGTTCCATAGTGTAACAGTTAGCACGTCTGCTTTACACGCAGGAGGTCCTGGGTTCACGCCCCAGTGGAGCCACAGTCCATGGTCTATGGCCATGCCACCCTGAACAAGCCCCATGTCTGATCTCGGAAGCTAAGCAGGGTTGTGCCTGGTTAGTACTCGAATGAGAGACGGCAAAAATAAATAAATAAAAACAAACAAACAAACAAACAGTTCATGAGCTCCTGCAG